TCGTAAGTGTGTTCATGCAATTTATTTGAACATGAAGCGTTTTACCAACCAAATATGCAGATAGCAAGCTGCAATATTGATAATGATGGCGTATCAATGCTGTCAACCGAAGTTGACCCCGTGACAGACTGTGGTCAAAATGTTGCAACTTGAGATACGAACATTTCTTGCAGGTTGTCAACTTGCAACATTGCATGATACACGAATCAACATTTTTTGTCAACAAAAGTTGCAGCTTGTTGATCCGTGTATGACAATGACATTTGTGTATTTGTTCTTATTTTGCAAGCATGTTGAGTTCAACAGATTGATTAAAATAAACTTATTTCTTCAGTATGTTTTTCTATAATTGAGAATGCTGAACTGCAACGCCACGCGGCGGTATGATGTAGCGCGCGTCAAATCCCACTCTCTGGTTGGTGTCTCACGACACCACGGGCAATGCACGCCACCCAAAGCAACATAGCGCCACAGATAAAACCAACCATGCTCGGAATCTACGACGCGACGGGAAAACCCATTAAGTCCGTTGTGTCGCGTCATTTACCAGACACAGACCACCCTCCACGACCTGACGCGTTGTAGAGGGTGGTGTGCAGCCGGGTTTAGATTTATTTAGGTTGTTTGTAGCAACGATTTTAAACGTTATAGGCTTACATTGAAGCGTAACCAAACGATGCAAGAATTGTCCTCACTACTCACAATCCAATTGATATGTGGGGACAATACGTTGCGATTATGGGAAATAGCTAAAATTAGTATGCAAAATTATCTATTACACAATCAGCACCAATCACCACAGTAGAACGACATGTAATAAACTCAGGATTTATTTTTATTTACTAACAGAAAGCCCACTGGCAATCCGGAGACTTACAACGCGATATAACACAATATGTAAAATTGCACAGAACTTACAGTATACCCTTGATATACATCGATACGATCCTGGCCATGTAAGAAATTAGCGGGAAAGCCTCTAATTGGCTGAATATAAAAAATTAAACAAAAGAACACACTGCGGCGGTTTCTACCACGTTCGCGCTGTTGTCGTCGCACTACAGAATCCGTATTTTGAAACAATGTATGATAAGTCAGGATACTATTTAACTTGTATAAAACAAAATGAATAAAGCGATTGACAAATATTGTATGTTTCAATTACAATGCTTCGCCGATAAATGAGTCAGAAATTACTCCGTCATGATAGTGATTATCACGTCAGCTTCTGTAAGATAACTGTCGCATGCATGAGAAAAACCTCGAACCAAGATATGTCATCGTCGACCCTAAGTTCATAAAATACGCGTGTCATTTCCGTTGTTCGTCATAATCTAAATGTCAAGAATAACATTGTTAGACAAAACGCCTGCCATCTGCCATTTTTCAGTATCTGTCATACGACGTCTATTATATGAGATCAAATGGGAATTGGATCTTGGAATAATTATTACTGTTGCAACGATGTCAGCGCGAGTTGTATCACTTTGTAGACAACCGTTTTATGGACCTTTTGTAAATTCAACATCAACTTACTCTTCCAAAATAAATTACATCTCTATTATTCTATATTTTCACTCTAACCGATTATTATGAAAAATAAACGTACTTCATTTGAAATGTTTGCATTAGTTTCAACACATTTTTGTACAAAAAAATATTGTTTCATAGTTATCTGCAAATATTCCAGATATGTATTGCATAAAAACTATGTACTTCCATGTAATTTATGCCAGTGTGTCGATGTCGGCAAGCCCTTGCCCCCCTTCGCGGAAAAGGAGAACATTCATCAAATGTGATGGCGAACAAGAGTTATGGGATCTAGCCAGTAGTTACCTTTCAAACTCGTGGTCAGAATTATTATTATACGGTTAGCTCCGTGACTGAGTGCTACAATAATTTTAGTTATTGTAACACTACTATAAAGACTATTTATACAGTGATTCCCCGAAGTTAACTGGTTGCCGAGCTACCATACGTGCACGAATGTGTCGAATCGACATTGACTCCTTTCCAGGCAGTTATTTTACTATACCAGCTTCAGTTCTGTACTGCACATACGTATTCTGTATTGAATAAATCCAACATTATCTTTGAAAGGTCACAAAATTCTCATAAAATATAGAAAATGTGCTTTGCATTCATACACTTATATATGGACAAAATGCCATTTATATTCTTATGTTAACCATACGTTCATTTGTAAACTATTTCTGGAGGACAACATACAAGCCTATAGATTCAACTTACGATAAACTGATTCAAAAACGCTCACAGACGACTGATTGTAAAATCGACCCCAACCCATTTTCCATTGCGAGCGCGTTCAGTAACTTGGAAACTATAAAACACACCCAGAACTCGATTGTCACCATGGGTGCTATTTAATTCTAATACGTGTTTGCAGTTACATAAACGACCATGCTACGAGTGCGTCACAACTTTCATGCCGAAGGTCAAGCATTATTTTGTTTTAATACTTTATATGATTTTATATGTATGTATGTTAAAGAGGTTATTCTCCACCAAGAAAATATTTCGTTTTTTATGTTCGTTATCCGATATTTGTTGGCGGCGAATGAACTCTAAATAATTAATCCCTTAGACAATCTCAAATGTATTTTGTTAATGAGAACAACAACAAATCTTTTGATAATGATCTTTAAATTAATTGTGAAGGTATGGACAGTTTTGTCAGCTGGCATTGATGCTATAACATCTTACAATACTTACAATACGAAATGAAATCAAGGTATGTGACTTTGTATTTGTATAGGGGGAAATCATTACCAAAAAGCACAAATCTTTGGATTTTCTATAACCCCAGACATTTCACTGTCCCCAAACTGCTTCAAATAGCGTGTAGTGAATACTTTCTTTCAATGACTAGGTGAAAATGCCCAATTCTAATAAATATCTAATTCAAAATCAACGTGCAGAATTCTGCACACAAATGACTAGTTACTGACTTCCTCGGGGACACATCTGTGAAGATCACCTGATATTAAACACGTGATATAGATCTTAACCATAACATATTACAAACTGTAAATGCTGATTGACAATTAGTGTGTCCTATTTATTATACAATGAAGGGCAAAACAAAGTGTTAACAATAAGTAAATATTGTATAATTTTACCTTTCATGTCAATAAAATACTGTCGAAAGTTGAAAAGTTCACACATTACATGATAAGAAAAACGGAGAAAAGACAACGAATTAAACATGAACAAAGCCACGTTGTCATTGTCAATAATGCCAATAAAATTATTTTCACACTTGGGATTGTATGTTCCATAATAACACGTATATTACACAATTCATACTGTACACAGATCACAATTCCACATTGGCTGGTTTATGAACATAGAAAATTGTCAATCAATTGCCCACAGAAACGTATTATAACTTTTCCACTACAATAACAAACTTATAACTTGTATATTAATAATAATAATTCAACAATGCGTGGGCGACTCAAAACTGAAAGAATGTCATATTATCGTACAATTGTTTACTTTAGGAATGCAAGTATGTACAACATTAGAATGGCACAGTACACAAACGCTAAATTCTGGAAACATTCGGGGAATAGTAGACTATATATCCTATGGAGGGACTGCTGCAACAAGCATCCTTCTTTATTATAGTCACTCCAATTGCTTACATTATTTGTTTAAGTTAGATATTTGTTAAAGTTAAACAAAGTAGTCTTACTACTTTTGGTCAGTGGTGTGACCAACCTTCGGCGGCGCCACAGCATGCGTGTGAGACAGCCCCTAGAGCAGTGTTTTAAATGTGTCTTCTTCGGCAATGTTCCTATTCAAACTAATAGTCAACATGATGCTGTTTACTGATTTGACGTTTTCCACCGTGGATAGGGCCTTCTTATTTGTGTTTGCAGCATGGTAATGAAAGCATACCAGTTGGGGGCATAGAGAGATAGCAAGAATGTATCTGATGTTGTAAACACCATGAATGGCAGTACCACCAGTACATTGGTGTAAACTGGTGGTGTTATCTTAAAGGAGCTGGGGCATAAATGACGAATAGATGTGGATCATCCATTTTCAAATGTAATACACATGCATAACCTAAATGCCACCTTCTGAAACATGTTGAGTTGCAGCCGCATTTTCCATCAAATGAACAGTCCATAGTAAGACATTCGACCAATGAGAAAAAGGTCAGATATATTATGGTAAACTGTAATGCCCAGTCCAGGCAACGAAGAAGAAAAATGATGTAAAATAATCAACTTCCGGGTCAGAGACGTTGACCGGAAATAAAGCTACAACCATGGAAGCTGAAAGTGAAGCAATGTTGTAATCTAAGGCTTCACCACTTCAACATAAGGTTTTTTCACACTAAAACTGGTGAGTGTCAGCGATCCTGACAACTGATAACGTAAACAAATAAAAACTTCTTATCATTTTTTTGCTGAATGGGTTGATGAAACGGTGAATACAGGCAGGTACATAGTCCCATAACAACTAAATTAATGGTACTCCAATAACTGTTAACACTGACGGATCCATAAATTCGGTAAGATTGGGGGGGGGGGTTCCTATTGACGTGGGTTGGGTTTGTCAATTGATTTAAACATTTTTTTGCGCGCGCCTACCCTGAATCCGCGCGTGGTAAACTAAACTGGCTAATATCTTCAGGCCCGGGTCTTCTGCCGGAAAAGTTGGAAACTGAAAATAATACAGATATTACATACAATCTCCATAGGTGCTGTTATATTTTCCAATTCTGGGGGTCAACTGACTGGCAGTGGTAATACTTACCTTGTCTAACTTTGCCAAATATCTAAATTAAAGAAATAGTGGTAGTAATTTGCGAGACTATTTACAGTAAATATATACAGGGAACTATACAAGTACACATGGATGTCAATAACGCATATTAATAACATATCAATTAATTAAATTTACAAGTTATACAAGGTTTTTTGAGACTCGTCTTACAACATGAATACAATTACACAAACAAATCGCTACGAACGAGAGAGATTCACCGTGGACAGATGTTCCATGGGCATTATGCGATTACCCGCTACATAAGCATTCATGGTTGTGGTGTCGATCTCTTTAACAAAATGTACAGCATATAGTTTAGGTACGTATAAACATATCAAAGTTACCGAAGCGTTGAGGAGGGTGGCAAATGAAAGGATGGCTACTTTAAACGATGAATTGTTGATGGTTATGTAAGTTGGGATGAACGCTAGCCATATCACCAGTGTAGTGTACACACTAAGCGTAATGAAACGCGACTCGTTGTAGTTATCAGGTACTTTACGTGTCTTGAAAGCAAACCAACAGCAAAGAATGATGAGAAGAAGATTGTAGGTGACGGAGGTGATGACTTCTGAAGCTCCAATGTTGCAACTGAGGTCTACCCGTTTCTCTTTGTCGACCGGAGCTTCGAGGATGGCACTCGGCGGTGAAACGATCGCCCACACTCCGCTGATGATTAGCTAAAAATGCAAGAAAGTAGAGTGAAATTATTGACCATGTCTCTCATGTTTAGGAATATGGTATTTCCAATATGGGATCATACAAAGATATTTTTTTAAGACAAGATAGTTATTGTTGTGTTGCATTAAATCAGGTATATTATTAAGTTCAACTCTTGCGCTAATTAAGGAAAGAACACTGTCTAGATTGGATATATTCCGTACTTACCAAAGTCACATGACCATTAGTTTGATATAAGAGCGTGCACATCTTACTGAATATTGAATTAGTTTATGTATAGTGTGTGTAATAATATATCTAACTGTTTTACTAAAAAGCATCCGTATGTGAAATGTGAAACCTAATTACAGGAAAGAAATTCTTTTGATATATCGAAATGAACTCACAAAATAGGCCGGGTCATTGTATGAGTAGAGTAAGTTTCTACATATCCTCTGGATGCCTTAGAGCAATCACGAATGTACAGAGTAGACAGCATGAGAACTAACAAACTAATCCAGATAACGTTATATTATTATTAATATGGGATAGAACAAAAGCCGTCAGAGGATGTTGTATAATAACAATCTTGAAAACAGATATTTTGTTAATACACTCTACCAGTGTTAACTACACGAAATATGGGAATTAAACTCACGACGACGGCAAAGAGCCTTAGCACTTGTGAGCAAACAAATACCTCACTACATTGCAGTAACCACCTCCAAAAATACGGCCTAGAGTGATTAGATGGATACACGCAAGTTGTATCTCTGACGTAAAAACCACATGCGGAATATATTTCTACACACATAAAGCCATCATATTCGCGACGTATTATAATTGTTATAATTTATCAACACAATCATTCTTTCTCAGACTTGCATTTTTGAATTTTGGTTTCCTTTATTTACTCAATAAATAACAGAAAACTGCTTAGTGTTTAGAAACCAAACATATTGTACAATATTAGACCGAGTTACTCTTTAAATTAACTGTGCTGGTCATTTATTCGCTTTTTGTTTAACTTAGTACACACAGTTTTTCTAGCTTCTCTATCTAGACGATATTCCGGCACTACTGGATTGATTGGCGATGTATACATTGCATTTAAAGATTCGAAGTGAATAGAAGTTGGAAATTGGAAGTTGGAAGCTTCTATTCATGTATGGCATTATGTATTTTGATCTTTTTAAATTTATTATTGTTATTATAAACTTTTTATGGTAAGAAACAAATACATCAGCTTGTATCAAATAAAATAATAAGATCGTATCGCGTACAAAAAACAACAATTATCCACGTTTATATATATATAACTAGTTAAATCGCAAGCATTTTAATACGATTGCATAGGAAATGATCTAATTAATTATTGACAGTATATGGGTTGATGAGAAGGAACGCGGGACTAACTATATTTAATAATTCACTTTTAATGAGTTAATTTCTTTATTGATTCTAAAATATGCGTAATAATTCTCCAAATGAGATGATAGGTAAAAATAACAAATCCCAATTATTGAAAAAATGAATAAAATATAAGGTGGTCTTGTCAATTAATATTTGCCGATGGAAACATTGGCGATGACATTTTTAGTTGTAACCATAATCTGATGATATCAGCGTCATAACTTTTTGATTGTCGACGCAAAGCATTCGCTTTCCAAAAAAAAGTTTAGAAGTAAATGGTAGTAGAGGTACTACTCGTGTATCTAACTTGATTGGGAAAACCGTTATCATAGAATGGGAAATCAAAGCCGGACAAAACAAAGAACTGTTAAAAAACATCAATTGCAATTAGACTATAGTTTTTTTAAACAACTACAAATTTATTGAATGACGTTATCTGGTTATTAACAACAGGAATGTAATAATAAAATCTTCAGCAATTGTCAAAACTACATACGACTCTTTCACTTGTTATTGAGACATGATAATATACATTGTTTTCAAATATTCAGGCTCTAAATAGTTAATTTTGTAAAATGTTTAATTTCAAATCTTACAACATAAATATCATTGCACACTAAAAAATAGATGTATTGCCCCATGATTGAGTACATACACATCCTTGTAGTTCTTTTGAGTAGCATAAAAGTATCTTCCGCGTTTATTACTTCACTCTGTGGCATATTTTTTTCTATTTTTCCCGCTATTCTTACTCTGTAAATCGACTATGCTATTTTCATTCATTGTACTCTTTCATAATTGCCGATGGATTCTGTCATATTCATTATATAGTCGACAGGAATTGATCAACTGAACCCTAGTAATGAAATAGAAAACCTGTAAACTTGTCACGTAAACAAACTACTTTCAAAATACATACAAATCTGAACGCCACACATTTGCAGTTGTAAACTCCCGCTTTCAATGATATGCTGACTGTTCTCGTTGCTGAATATTGACGTCATGCCAAATTATTATCAATGGCTGTTTGCAAGTGATAACACTCGCAACAACCGCTCTTTTACAATGACGAAACTGATCGTAATAGGGTCTAAATATTGATATTGTTTAAGAAATGGAGCATACATATTAGTATTCATATTGTTATGAAATGACTTTGCTTTGAGGAATGCGTTAGAGAAATAAAAACCCTTATATGGTCATAACTGTTTAAAACAAGCGTCTACCGATGAGCCTTTGCGTTTATTGCATGCGTTGTTTCGAACTCAATTCTCGCGCGTGTGTGTAGAGGACGACCGCTCCACATTAACAGAAAAGTATAACGAGCACTGTCAATTAATCAGGAAGCCATGTTATTCATTACTTAATGAGTTTGCACAGAGGGCATGTGGTCAAGCAATACTAATTGATAATAAGTGAAAACAGACAACTACTGCCGACATACAACAACACAATATCTGTGTTTGAATTTCTCTATATAAGAATCAACCAAACCATACATCTTTAAATTTGTACAAAGTTTTAATAG